TATATATATAATATAAAATTTTGAATTTTGTAAAAAAGTATATACTTAATCTATTTATTAATAATTTTAATTTAATAGTTAAAATATTAAAATTTAATGTAGAAAACAAATTATTAAGTAAAATACTTTATTAAGGATTTCCCTTGAAATAATTAAATATCTCCCTTATATATGCACACATTTATACAACATAGTTAAATTAAGCTCCAATTAATTGAAACATTAATGTTGCACATCGAGAGTGTCTACACACATGTCTCTACATTGGTAAAATATTATTTGTTTTAGGTTTAAGCTCTCACGGTTTTACTTTTGGAACACCACTCAAAAGGCCTCTTATCGAGGGAGACTTATGTGTCTTTATAAATGCATGTTCGTCCTCTTATTCTAATGATGTGGAACTTTGATTATATCCAGACAATTTTTCCTTCAAACAAAAGACCATGGTTTAACCTCTTTTGTAGTAGAAGCTATCATCAGTCCATGAGTACATCTGATGGTGGTCCATAGAGCTCAATCATGCTCTAATTGGCACCACCGTTAAGAAAAATTTCAATACAAGAGATCCTATACTTGGATCCACCTACCATGATTATATCGGAGTCATTGTACTCGTTTAGTCGGTCACTTGATTGACCATTGCCTCTGATACCACTTGTTGTGTCGAGGATTTTAACATCAAGGAGCACTCCAATGGGTAGTGAGTAGATCACACATGTGACACCCTTTACCTCACATACAAAGACATATAATTAATATAAAACTAAAACTCCTCCAATGAATAATGAGTAGATCACATACACTACAAGAAAATAGCGATTTTGCGACAGTTATATGACCTATATTGCGATGGTTAGAACTACCGCAAAGGCGACATTGTGACAGTTCACCAACTGTCACAGAATTGTTCGTCACGAGTGAATTTTGTGATGGTTACCGAAACCATTGCACAAACCATCGCAAAAGCAGAATTGTGACTAATAAAGCATCTGTCGTACCAATTGCCTCTATATATATTAACATTACAACCCTTCAATCACTCGTCGCCTGAACTGCCTCTATATTAATATTGCGACCCTTGTGTCACCTGTCTCTTGAACTGCCTCTATATTAATATTACGACCCTTTGTATATCTGTTGCATGAACTGCCTCTATAACATTGCGACCCCTCAGTCAATTGTTGCACAAATTGCCTATATGTTAACACTGTGACTGTTATTTAAATGACACAATATTTATTATTTATTTTTTAAAATTAAAATTAAAATCATTTTTTAAAATTAATTTATTCTTTAACTGTCGCAATTATTTTTTAAAAATTAATTTATATTTTTAAATAAATTTCATATCACTTTTTAAAAATATATCAATCATTATTTTATTTTTATAAATCTTTTGCATCACAATTTAGTAGAGATTAATACATACTTATTAATATTTTATATATTATAATACAATTAAACATTAATTAGATTACAATTTAGGAATTATTACAATAATATATACAACAATCATTTTATATATTTTTGTTATAATACTTGCCTATCTATTATTTTTATTTAAACTGTAATACAATTATACAAAATTAAATAGCATAAGATAATAATAAAATAAAATAAAATTCATAAACATATAAAGTATTAAATTATGCTTCTCATACAACATTAAACAAATCAAAAGAAAATACACAAGTATGTATTTAAATTTCTTAATTAAAGTGCATAAATTAAAAAAAAAAGTAAACTAAATAGTAGAAAGTGAATCTAAGTCATGGCCTTCAGGAATATGACTCCCTTTAGAGGAAGGCTTTCCATTTACGGGTGATTCTAAGTCAGGTTTCTGGAATAAAATAAAAAATTAATATAAATAAGTTAAAATCTCAACTAACATAATGCATTCATATGAATAATAGAAAAAAGAAGAAGAAAATAAAAATAAAACAAAAATTTTACACAAATATTTCAACACAACTAAGCATATGATTCTACAAACAATTTTAGAGAATAGATTTTGCACACATTTAGACATAGTCTCACTAAATAAGATATAACCATGATAAAATCACATAGTATGTTCAATTGATGAAAATAAAAGAAAAATTGATCTAGAAACTTTCTGCTGAAATTAATCACATTTGTAGTATATCTACACAATGCATTTCAATATCATTGTTGCACTCATTGCTAATTAAATAATTACAATGTTAAATTTATGTACATCTTCATCAGGCATTATAACAATACCATAAAGCATTATAATTCACCAACATACACTACAAATCATGCGTCAAGCATTATAATTTAGCATCATACACAACAATTCATGCATCAAGCCTTTACACTATAAGCATTATAAAAACACATTTTCCATTACAAAATATGTACGATGCATGTGGTACCATTCACAAGATATATATGATGCATATTTAACAATTTGTCAATTTGTCGATTTACATACATATGATGCACATTACATAGACTCTCTATCATATTATGAATCACTACACATACTCAACTATTTGCCACACATGATTTTCTATACATACAATTTGTCATGCTTACAAGTGTTATTCACAACAATTTGCCATACATGCTATATACTAAGCACAATTCAAGTATCTCATTTAATTAGTACATCAATAATATTCATGTTTATTACACACTCATTAAGCATTAAAATCACTCTATTTCCATTCAAGTAAAAGAACAAGTTTCCAACATAGGGTGGCACCCGACAAAATTCAATCTACGCCTGACATAGCTCGTTTAGAAAACACACATAGATCTTGGGATGGTTCACAACTATCATGATTTGCATCATGATTGACATGATTTGCATCACACCTAATGAGATAGCAATAAGGAGTTCCCTAGAGCTCCCACACCCGACAAAACTCAACTCACCCAACATAAATGGCATAGAGACATGCAAACTTGATGGTGCCCAGGGAGATGTATCGTGCATTCGGCGTGAATAAAACATAGGGCGTACTTTGCTCTTGGGCTCCACAACGCTCAACAGATTGTGCATGGCACCTGACACCATATCAGAAACTCAAAACCTACAGAATTGCGATTTGCAAATAACAAACCGAAAACATGCATTCATCATTTCAAATTAGAAAAAACTACAAGGTTCTCATAATAAACACGAATAAGACATGAATTACATATAATTACAATTACTCATGCCTTATACCCAAAACACATACCCTTAGAGTTTGTAAAATCAAAAGGCAATCTTGAATCCCTCAAGAGGCTATAAATTTTAATGATAATAAACAATTTTTTTTAGGAAAACTATTTTAGACAAAGCAAATAGAATATTTAATCTGTAAAATGAAATACATCGGAAGAAACACACAACCTATGTTAATGCTATATTTATTTCTCATAATGAATTTAAATTATCTTTTAAGAGCATTGAATACTTTATCTCTTAACAGACTGAATGAGAAAACTTCTTCGAAGAAACCAAAAAAATGCTAAAAATGGAAAGTCAAATCCTTGTGTCAGAAAGAAAGAGAAAGATCCTAAAAATCATGAAAAAATAAACAGGAACTTTGAACATGCCGCATTGCTCTAATTTAGCCACTATTTTCTATCTTACCTAAATGAAATGATGATAAGTAGTTGCCAATATCAGATAAGAGATGGACATCTTCATGCAAATAATTAAATTCTTGCAGCAATGACTAATTTACTTTCTCTCTCTATGATCTCAAAGAGAAGATAGACGAAGAATCGTGAAAAGATTGCTCAACAGTCATTTTCTTTCAAGCTACTATATAAGGGATTCTCAATCAAGAATAGAAGAACGAAAAAGTGCAAAAGAAAAAGATATATAGTAAGAGAGTAACAGGAAGAAAATAAAAGAAGAAACGAAGTGTATACCTTATAGAAAAACTCTGTCATGTACAATTTATTTGTGCTTAAGTTTCATAGCATCACGTCTAGAAGAAACGAAGCTATCCTTGTAACTCTTTTCAAATTTATTTGTAAAGGTTGAGGTTGAAGAGACTTGTTTAAAAGAATACTTGGTGATTGAGCCTAAAGAGGCTTGTTCAAAAGAATACTTGGCATTGAGCCTAGAGAGACTTGTTAAAAGAATACTTAGTGTTTGAACCTGAAGAGGCTTGGCTAAAAAGAATACTTGGTGATTGAGCCTAGAAAGACTTGTTGAAAGAATACTTGGGGTAGTTGATTGAAGAGGTAAATCAAAGAATACTTAGGTTGAGCTAGAAGTGGCTTGTTGAAAGGATACTTGTATCTTGAAAAGGATAACAAAACTCAATCTGGTTGGATTGAGAACTGAACGTAGTCTCTGTGTTTGAGATGAATTAGTATAAAAGATCTGTGCTCCTTTGTCTATTACTTTTCAGTACTTCATTTGTCAAAGTTTTACTACTTCACTGCATTTCAAAAAGCATAAATTTTATATATATATTATTCAACCTCCCTTCTAGTATGTATTTTTTTCTCCAGTAGGGTTTCCATAGGAACCCATAAACAACTCAAAATGTACTAAAAGAATTCATGAAATTAACTAAAAACAATTGCAATTAACATTAATAGGGGAGTTGAAAAGTCATGAAAGAGATGACAAATCACCAACAGAAAATAATAGGGTTTCCTCCTTCATATAACGCATACAACATACAGAGGTTGGAGGCCAACCTCACTACTCGTCAATTACCATACACCGTAGAGTGAGAATTCTCACACCCCTTTACCTTTTTAGCATTGGGTGAAGGACGTAGGTCTTTGGGATAATCTCCTATAGCCTCTTCTCCTCTAGATTTTTTAGAGTGTGAAATGAGAGCATAAGAAGAAAAATTGGTGTATCCCTTTCAATTTTAAAAACTAACAAGGAACACTCATGATTCTATATGGACAAAAATATGGGCCGTAAATTCCCCCTAAATGAAAGAAGTTGGTATGGTGTGCATGTTTAAACTCATTACCAATATGTGCCAACTTACGTCAGCATCGTGTCAATGTAGACTCCCTATGCCCAAGATGTGGTTGTGATGTTGAAACTGTAGAACATGCTCTTCCAACATGTTCTAACTCCATGAAAGTATGGTTTGCTTCCTACCTTTTTATTTGAGTTGACTTTAACCAAATTACTTCTTTCAAAGAGTGGTTGAGAGTCTTTGTACAACATGCAAATGTTGTGGCAACTGTAGACCTGTTGAACACTATATGGTCTATTTGGTTTAGTTGTAATCAATTAGTGTTCAAGGGTAGAGTTATGGCCTTTCAACAAAAATTTGCTAAAGTTAACAATTAGAGACTTAATGCTCAAGAGCAAGCCATTTATAAGAAATCCCACCCAACTACATGGAGAGGGCCTTCAATGAATTCTATTAAAATTAACTTTGATGCATCTGCCAAAAATCAAAAGGGAACAGGAATGGGGTTTGTGGCACGTAATCATGAGGGAACTGTATTAGGGGTTGCCACATGTTTTGTTGAAACAGTGTATAAACCCAAAATTGTAGAAGCACTTTATTATAAGTGGGCCATCCGTCTAGATGGAGAGTTTTGCTTCATTGGTGCAGGCTTCGAGACAGATTGTCTCCAACTCTTTAGTTGCATGAAAATAACCTTTTCTTCCTATAGTAGTTATTTTGAAGGTATTGTTGCAGATTGCAAACTTCTTTGTAGAGAGTTTCAAACACATGAGCTTCTTTTCACAAAGAGAAGGGGTAATAGAGTGGCATATGAGTTCACTAATTTAGCATTTTTGTTAGGAGAGAGATATCGGGTAGATGAAGTGATGGAGACCTCCCTTCCATGGTTGATAATGGCGTCTGGAAGAGGGTCACCTTGCCCAAGATCTAGGCTCACCAAAGGTCCGGAACTGGGATGTTTAAGGTGGAGAAGGGATGATAGGCGTGAGATAGTGAAGGTGGGCGGAAGTGTATGGAAGCTCTATGGAGGCTGGTTCACTCCAAGTGAAGATGGAGGCCACTCTAGGGTTTCACTCTCCAAGGGTGGAGAATGAAGGGGGTTAGCCGAAGTTAACCTAGGGACTAAGGATATGATTTGAGGCAAAACTCTCAAATTCATATAATCCAAAGTATTTACAAGGTGTTGTGCATTGGGTATTTATAAGAGTGAGATACATCTAGGGTTGCATTTGGAGAGTGCATGGCTGACTCACAATGCCAAATGCACTCCAAATGAAATCCAAATTAACCCTAGATGCAACTTGGTGGCCAAGGATGAAATCTTTGGGATTAGTTAGGCTACATCTAGGTGCATGATAAGACCATGCAACCTTTTCCCTCCACTTGGGCCTAAGCCTTTCTAACACCAAAAATAGGTCTAAAAGCCACAAAAATACGTCTAGGTTTTTGTTCCCACCCTAATCAAATATCTTAGCCCAAAATTAAAAACCTATGATCTAAAGCACCCCATAATACAAGGGTAAAATGAGAAATACAAAAGAAAATAAATCCTATGACTAAGATACCCCAAAATACAAGGGTAAAATTAGAAATACAAATAAAATAAATTCTATGACTGAAATACCCCAAAGTACAAGGGTAAAATAGGAATAAAATAATAAAATCCTACACTACTCAAAATGGGCCTAGGAGATGGATCAATACTCCACACTCATGATGAGTATGGCTCTAGGCGTGGTATCTCCTTCATTCTCCTCCATCCTCCTAGCCATGGACCTAGTAATGGGTCCAACATGTAGTTTCAAGGGTGGCCCTCCATCATCCCCTCCTTCTTGAAGAGGATTTGACCTCAAATCTTGAAGTTCATCTATGTCATTAGTTCCTAGGAAAGGTGTAAGATCACAAAAATTAAATGAGGAACTAATGCCATAGTCAGAGGGAAGATCTAAAATGTATGCGTTTTCATTAATCTTTTGGAGAACTTGGAAAGGTCCATCTCCCCTAGGGTTGAGTTTTGACATCCTTTGAGTAGGGAATCTATCCTTTCTCAAATGAATCCAAACCCAATCCCCAACTTCAAAAGTCACCTTTTTCCTCCCTTTGTTGTTATATTTGGCATATTTTTGGGTTTGTTTCTCAATTTGGCTCTTGACTTTCTCATGGTATTTCTTTATAAAATCAGCCCTTGATACTCCTTCTTTGTGAAACAAAGAAGTAGTATTAGGGAAGGGTAGTAAGTCAAGAGGGGTGAGAGGATTAAAGCCATATACAACCTCAAAAGGGGATAGATTAGTAGTCTTGTGGACTACTCTATTATAGGCAAACTCTATATGGGGAAGACAATCATCCCAAGTTTTCTTATTTCCTTTCAATATGACCCTTAACAATGTGGATAAGGATCTATTTACCACTTCGGTTTGCCCATCGGTTTGTGGGTGACATGTAGTGGAATAGACAAGCTTGGTTCCTAGTTTTTCCCATAATACTTTCCAAAAATGACTTAGGAATTTTGCATCCCTATCGGACACAATAGTCTTGGATAGACCATGCAAATGGACCACTTCCTTGAAGAAAAACTTAGCAATATAGCTAGCATCATCTACTTTGTGGAATGGTATGAAATGAGCCATCTTACTAAAACAGTCCACTACCACAAAGATAGAATCAAATCCCCTTTGGGTTCTTGGGAGACCAAGCACAAAATCCATACTAATGTCAACCCAAGGGGAGCTAGCTATAGGAAGGGGTTTATAGAGTCCATGAGGCATTATTCTTGATTTGGCTTGGAGACAAGTAATGCATTTAGAACAATGCCTTTGGGTGTCTATTCTCATGTGGGGCCAATAAAATTTTGATTTTAAAAGACTTAGGGTCTTATTAACCCCAAAGTGGCCCATGAGTCCCCCTTCATGACTTTCCTTGACCAAAGGCTTCCTAATGGATCCTTGAGGTATGCAAATTTTTCCCATCCTAAAAAGGTATCCCTCAAGTAAGTAAAATCCATCAAAAGGCTTTTGGAGACACTTAGAAAAGATGGATTGAAAATCTTGATCAAGTTCATACAATTCCTTTAGATTATCAAATCCAAGGATTTGAGATCCTAAGGAGAAGAGTAATGTATGCCTTCTAGAGAGAGCATCGGCCTCTACATTATTCTTCCCTTTCTTGTACTTGATAATATAAGGGAATTGTTCAAGATATTCAATCCATTTAACATGCCTTTCATTTAATTTCCCTTGCCCTCTAATGTACTTGAGTGACTCATGATCGGTGTGAATAATGAATTCCTTAGTCACCAAGTAGTGCTCCCAAACTTGGAGGGCTCTAATGAGGGCATACAACTCTTTGTCATAGATGGGGTAATTCAAGGTGGCGCCATGGAGTTTTTCACTAAAATAGGCAATGGGATGTCCCCCTTGAAGT